TATGCAAAAGATAAGGTACCTCGGATTTGTACTGAACAAAGAGGGCAGAAGACCAGATATAGAGAATACTCAGGCAATGGAAACTATTCCTGGATCGACGGACGACCTCACACCGCATTTGTTTTTGGAACTCTTTATTCATTGTGGAGCTTTTATTCTCAACATTAATCACCTACATGCCCCAAAATAACCTTCTGGCGAAGAGTCTCAAATCGGATTGGTTTGCAAACTGCCATGTCGCTTCCGAGGAAATCGAGAAAATACTAGCCTTGGATCTATTGATCACCCATTACGTTACATCATTACCAATTGCATTAGCATCAGATGCTTCAAACTACGTCATTGAATCGGTTGTTTTGTCAATCAGATCGAAAAGATTAGCTTTGCTGTAAAGAAGCTTCACAAGATGATATTTGGACTCCAGTTCACTCTATTAACTGACTGTTAAACATTGGTGGGCGTTATCAGGTTGAATAAAGAAATTCCGGTCTACACGGCAAACGAGCTTTAAAGGTGTGGACCTACATTCTTGAGTTGTGACTTTAAATTTAAGTTTGTAGATAACGAAACAAACCCTAGATAACTGGGTGCAGCATACAGGAATTGTAAACCAAAAATGTTAGAGGTCCACATTGTCTTCCACGATAGAAGACCAGTTTAAATGCCTAGAATTTGTATGTAGCTTGCGGTCACCGAAGGATGCTGACAAGCGAACTCGAATCTTGACTTCAAGATCAAGTACCAGCCTACTACTGATTTTGGACAAGCAGACGCTTTGTGTAAACTGATTGGTTCACGTGTAAACCAGGATGAATATACTTTGGTGACAGTAATGGAGGCGGAAGCAGAAGAATATCTAGTATTGGAAGACTCAGTCGATGGTTATTCAGTTACCTTCAAAAGTATCAAAGAAGCCATGGAAAATGACAAGACGTTGAGGAAAGTTAGTGGTTATCTCCTCACCAAGTAGCCGAACCGTCATTTTGCAAAATCAATTTTACAGTATTTTCGCTGGCAAAACTCACTGATGATAATAGATTCATGAATAACGTTTTGTGACAGAATTGTTGTTCCAAAAACATTACGCCAGAAGCTTCTGAAACAATCTCACAGCGGCTATCCTGACACCAATAAGATGAAAGTGTTTGCTCGAAGCTATGCTTACTGGCCTACAATGGACCGATATATCGAAACTAGATGCCACAATTGTTCGACGTGCCCGCAAGCAGTTAAAAGTCCAAAGAAGTGTGAACCTCAAAAATAAGAAAAATTTAATAGATATTGGTAGATGCTGGACTCAGATTTTGTCGACGCATTACGAGGAAAAATGTTTCTAGTCATGGTGGACACATTCACAAAATGCATGTGAATCTATGCCATGACAAACTCCACAGTCACCAATTTTGGTGACCGATAATGTCTCACAATTCACCACAGAATCATCGAAGGACTTCTAGAACAAGGATGGAATTGTGCGCATACGCTCTCCTGCATATTACCCTCAATCAAATGGACAGACAGAGCGCTTCCTCGACGTATTCAAAAGAGCACTAGTCAAAGGAGGAGACGAGAGGACAAACTAAAAGAACAAAAGAAAATAATTATCATCTTACAATTTGATAATTTTCCTATGAAGATTATCAGAAGTATATTAAAACAAGACAATTCAGTACGTAATAATAACAATAATTCGAATGAAATGCCATGGATTGGTACTGCAGTTCTACCATGCCGTCATGGCACAACTGAAGAACTCCAAAGAATCTTAAAACAACACAGAATCAAAGTATATTGCAAAACAACGAACACGCTTGGAAATACTTTAGTTCAATTAAAAGAAAAGATATCATTCATGTCTACACAGAACTGCGTCTACAAATTAGGTTGTGTCGACTGTGATGCCTTCTATATTGGAGAGTCATCTCGCGAAATCATGACTCGCGCCAAAGAGCATATTAGGTACACAAAGAAATCTCCTAATAATCCTGTAGAACTAGACAGACTACAAATTAAATCGGCATTAGCGTTTCATGCCATTTTCGATAATCATCAAATTGATTTCAAAAACGTGAAAATACTTCAGAAAGGTTTTTCCAATCACAATGAAAGAAGAGTAGCTGAAGATTTCCATATAATGCTTACTCCCACTGCCCTCAATAGAAAAGAAGGCCTTACCATACATCCCACTTGGATTATCTATCCTAGTCAACCAGTCTAATATTATTTACAATTTCACACCATTACATTACAAATTAATTCTATCCTTTGTCATTATAAAGGTCACACATTTTTCATCATTTACAGTGGACACATACATCAAAAATTACATACATGTCACTCATGAATCACCTTGACCGCAATGAAATGACGTGACATTGATTTATTCAGACCTGTTTTCGATTGATCACCTAATTATTCTTGGATTGTTCCGTTGTACTATTTAAACTTGGATTAATATTAATTTAGTTGTTTATTCTCTGAAGAAGTGACTTACACTGAGTCACGAAACGTCAGAAAATCTAATTTTTCTAATCATTGGGATATTGCTAAATATATTACTTATTTATAATAAACAGTAGTTGCAACTTCTCTTTGCATTCTGATTTCATGCACCGTTAACGTTTTTACAATAACGGTTATCGAGGTGAAAGTTCAGCGAAGCAATGCACTACCATAGTCTGACTCATACAAGTTTCGTCATCACAATGTCTCAAAATAAACATTGAAACAGTTTATATATATCAAGCAATACATATTTTACCATTATCAACTTATACATGCAAAATTCATATCAAGTTAAAACAAGTTGTAATTGATGTTCATTATTAAAATCAAAGAAATGAATTTCTCTTTCAACAATAACCAAAAGATTGTTTGCTCTATTTGATTCTCCTTCATTTTGGACAATTGTCCTGAAAACGTAAAATAATTAAGCATGAAGAGTTGCGCACGTAAATATCGTTCAGTAACACAGATATCAAACAGTCAGAAATCATGTTTCAGTGAAATGTCTAGTCTGTTTTATATAAAGCCTTCTACAAGCTCAGTGTGCTACCGATTTTGCTATAATATACTGATATGTCTTCAAAAAAACGTCTAAATAAACTCTACCACTTAAGTTATTTATATCCACAGATTGTAAGCAACTGACGATGACCAGACGAATTAGGTGGGTTGATGATATTTCGTCAAAGCATTTGCTTCTGCTATCCTCAATATTAGTTTCACTGGCCAGTTGAAATGACGTTTTTGACTGGTTAGTATAAGGTACTTGAGAAAGTTGAGAGTGTTAGGGAATTTAAATTTAATGTCATACTCTTAAAACATTATTCTCATTTAAAACATGTTACTCGTTTGTAATGTTTAGATGGAAACGTATATCGACCAATGTATTTACAGGTTTACCAATAAAATTCTGAGGATCACTGGGGCACGCATGCAAAATCTACGTCAGTGAATCTCTTGTTCAATCTATATAATAAAACGAACTCATGTTTTCCCCTTCAGGACAAAGCAACTTATGCAAATGAATTGGAAATAACTCTATTAATCCTTTTTAGACAAATTCTTCCTAATAATTTGGTCATTATTGATGGTTATTTGCATGAAATTTTATTTCATGAAAACATATCCATAAATGTGGTTGTTGTTCTGTTATTTGGACAATAAGCGTGTGAATTGAAAGTCTATTATATTTTCAGGCGTTCAATACGTAGACTTGTTGATGATCTGAAATCAACTGGACCATCATTGAAAACCTGGGAGCACATGACGGCCGTTTAGTCCTGCTGTTGAATTCTCCACATATTGATGACTTCAATTTAATCTCAACTACCCCCACAACCCGTTACTGATAATTGTTTGACATTAATTTCGCGGCACGTATGATCCCTATCACCCTTTTTTCAAAAACTTATGGATGTGAAAAATATTTAACAATTAGTGATTTGTGTACCCGTTTTTGATAGTGTGTGCACAACTGAAAGTGAGCAGACGTTTTGTCACGTGTAATAATGTTTTAATTTGATGTAAATGGTGCTGCTTTGTAATCTGATTCATTCCAATCGAAATAGAATGAAAAGCTTTTATTGGATGTGAGAATGTGACATTTTGGCATCCGATTATGATTTACAATAATTAACTATTTTCGTACTGTTCCATCTGAGTTTTGAAAAAAACACAAATCCATTTGATTAGGCTGGTATATTCCTGTCAGTGAATGCATATCGGGATATGGTCATTTTTTGGGATCCAATTAGAAGTGTATATCAAGTTGTCAGTTAAGTATTCCCATGAGTTATTTGAACATATAGTTCTCGCTTTTAATAAACGTAATATGTGTGTTGAACATCATTTATCGATTCCAATTCAATATACAGTGACAACACACTGTTTATTTTTCCACGGTTGCAAATGGTATGAGCAGATTAGAGCAGGCATACAAAACTGACTTTGAAGATGAAGTAGAGTCATAGATGAAGTTACAAACGAGTTCAACGATACATAAAAACATGAACTCGAAACTAGGGACACGTAATATTGGCAGATATCGGTCTCTTATGAAGTATATCTTGTAGAAATATGTCACATAAATAATGTTCAATAATGTCCCTATCTACCACGGTTGCAATCTTTTATTATATCAAAGTGATCAGCGATTTGATCCTACATCAATTTACATTCTACTGTCGCTCTTTTTTTCTATGCCTTCTTGATTCGCGACCAATTGCACTGCAAAATGTGTCTGATCACATGACAAGACAAATTTGAACAATGAATAATGTTTGTGTAAAATTTCCATACACTTCGAACGAATATTCAATCTCCACAGATTTTCAACGCTAGTCACACTACAATGTACATACTTACTACAATCGATTCCCCCAGCTTATCCTGATACAAATTTCAGAACTAAATCTGCGTTATGAAGGCAGAAAAATTTATCCGTTTTTATTAATATTTTTTAGTGTGATGGATATTTACAAACCAATTCAACTCACCTTACACAATGACGTGCATTTTGGACATTGTATATTGATAGCTAAATATCCTTTTTTCATATGTGGCCGTATATGTATTATCCCACCTTCAACAGGACACTCAAACAGCTGTCCGTTAAATATCACTTCAACACCATAATTTATTGAACATTGGAACTGACAGTGTTTGTGTTTAGGATGAGGAACAATCAGTAGATAATTAGTTTTAAATTGAGTAGAACTCAACAAGAGTAATCAATTTCCAGAAAATAATCTGTCAAACTGGCCAAGAAAATATCTGTACCTACCACTTAACAGATAGAATCTGCACACTAGGTTTAAGCTTAAGCATATTGTTATACTCAGCAGTTAACTTGTCTGTCAACGTACGAGTTAATATGTTTACTTTTACTTTTGACTTGTTGAATGATTGCTGAATTATTTCAGTTCCTATTGATAACCGTGAACCAAAATTTAACACCATCTCAAAGACTACTTATTAAATAGGAAGAGTAAACACAATGGATTTGAAAAGTGTTGACGATATTTGGCCTCAGCTCATAGAAGTAGAATTATTGTCTTCTATCTTTATGAATCTACGTGTCAAATCGACCTAAACCAGGACTTCTTCACACAAAATATGAATAACTATTTATTATTGCTACCATCTGTTACTGTTTCTGTTAGGAATTAAGCAGCTTGAAATAATCTTTCAAAATCTATCGATCCATCACAAAACATAGGTAAGCATCGGTTGCACAAACAAGATACCTTGAAATTGGCGAGTGAAGGCACATTCGCTTGCGCAAAACCTCTCATGTGTAAGCAGTAAAGTTTGACGGTCACCTTAAAACTAGATGTGGTACTTCGTTTTATGCCTACTGCTCACAAAGTTGACAATAAATTTGCATTTTTATTTCGAAACATTGTGCAAATTTTGCTTCGAATTGAGTCTCCTATTAGTCGAAATTTACTAATAGTGGTGGTCCTAATGTAGTTTTCCTTCTTTTATTTTTATAAGTGAAAGAATTTCATCCAAAATAAAAATCATCTTTGCATGCGTCTTTTGAAATGCTGTGCTTCTCCAATTGATTCTATAGAGTTTTAACCCTCATCCACTTATTTTCATTCATCTGTTGTTCTTTTTTCAATATACCAACCCTCCTCACTCTACCTCACAATCTTATTTCTTTGTGTGATGCATAAATATCATGGTATCTCATTGTACCAGTATCCATGTGTTTGAATAAGATTTTTGTAAAAATATGAGTGAACTCATTCCGTCATTTTCGATTAACTTATTTTTAGAAGAGAAAGCAATGTTCTCTTCAAATCTACACAATTATTGAGCGATACATTGTGGGAATATTACATATCGAAGTGATTTTTATTTTCATCTTCCTTGATACTTTCGTTGCTTATGACCAAATGTATTTTAATATGAAACATGCAAAGTCCATCAATATAAATTATCGAATTTTTCAAATAGAACTTACTTTATGACACATTGTTGTATTTTTAGCAGTGTATATTTTTGATCCGCTAACGTATTCAATTGCTTCGTCCATAAAACATGCTGAATCAGGACCCCTATAATCCAGAAATAAGTCTAGTGTTGAATCTGTGGAAAATCAATAAATATTTGAACACATCTATATTGATTAAATGTCACAGTGAATTTATGGAAATAAAAGTTGTTTTATAGATTAACAATCTGCTGGTCTATACATTACAACAAGATGAGATTTGGCTTCAGTGTATGAAGTCAACATGCTTTCATAATACAATCACACAATCTATCTCTTTCTTGTTATATGCAACTTCTGGCATAGGGGTTATCTTTCTTAATGAAAATATTACAAATCTGTCGACATATGTCGTTTCAAGGTAAAACATGATGATTATCAAGATATTTTAGTGTCATAAACTGAGAGAATACAAGTATTATTTATATGGACAACCGCAGATATATAAACCGGATATTCCATGGAGACCATTTTTAGACATGTACGGTTTATCTTAACATACTGTATTCAATACCTGAAATTTCGTGTTGATCATTAAGGATATTATTCATCTTATCAATGTAATCTATTCTGTTAAGTACAACAATTCTTGTTCCTTCATCAGATTTTGCGGTAATCAGATTCTCGTCATTTATAATAAACTTGGTCAATTTCTTATGGATTATTCATTTGGATTTATAATTGTAGTACCTGATGTGAAATTATTGTAAAGGATATTCTTCGTTCACATAATTTTGTTGTTTAATATGATGGGAATATTTCAGCGAATATACATATATTCAAATATATATAGATATGTTTCAGCAACAAGCGAAATAGGTAAGCTAACAAAATATGTTTGTTAACGAACCTGGTTCTAAGTCACTTTTTCTATCGCATAGGGATGATTCATCTTTTTCATATGAGTGAACCTAAATGAAATGTTTTTTTAAATGCAAAAATTATAGTATGAAGTAGTATAGTATAGTAGTAGTATAGTTGCATAGTAATAACGAAAGTTGTTGTATTATAGTATAATAAGAGTGGTGAAATTTTTAAGCTCAGGTGGATGATTTAGATAAAGTTTGATTGTCTGAGCTGGATGGTTTGGTTGTGTTACATTCATCATCCTTCTGAACGACATCATAAGCACAAACCTCCGGTAGAAGTCCATGGAAGTTTGTGCTGATGATGTCGTTCAGAAGGACGATAAAACCTACACTACCGAACCACACAAATCAGAGACCAAAACTACATCAAAAAATATATGAAGTATCAAAAAATCTCTGTTGTTTTGACGAAATTCTGATGCATATGACTGAATGATATGGAATACGATTACAGCGACGTTATTGGATACTACTTCCGTAAGAAACCATTGAGGAATGTTATGAGTATTAATATGTCTAAAGTTTTATCTCTGTAATTAGACCAACAATCTTTCGCGCAAATTCCTGAAAAGTATTAAAAGCATCTCACTACTATTGAATACGTCTAAGAAAGAACAGATCCGATGATTTCAAAAAATAACTCATTTAATTATTGTTGCACAGATTACTTGAATGTCAAGAACTGTAATACCTTAAGGAATCAAATATAAAACTATTTATAACAAACATCTTTGCGTATCAGAGTGTGAAGGATCATACAAATACGTGCACCTCTTAGTTAAAATTAATACTAAGTTATGGGTGAAACAGTATACTCACGTCTCCCGTTTGATAAGTCTTTTCGTCTAGCATAAGAATCTCAGACGTTCTGTACAAAATAATCATTTCCATGGGTAACTCTACTTTTAGATCAATTAGTTACAAACATTTCCCGAAACTGTCAAACGAACCATATAAGTGATCCGATAACCATCGTGAGTTTAGTTTGGCTGTTTTATCAAGACACACTGTTCTAACATAATTATCATACGGCTTAATAGAAGTGTGACTTACTACAAGAACTGGACAGTAATCAAAAAATGAATAGCCTCCATACTTTTCCTTTTGAGTGTCTGTAAAAGTAAACGAATCATCCATATACTGATTGACTTCATTTAATTGATTCTTGTGTTTATACAGTGCGCAAGTACCGATCCCGTTTTCATAACTGGCACATTTTTGTTCAGAGGGAATATCACAGTAGGGCTGAATTTCTTGTCCTCTAAGAAGAGAATAATTTGATTTGTTATGACATGAAAGTTATCATATAACGTATTTAACAGTAATTAAGAAATGCTCACAACGTCGTTTAGATAATTCAAGAGAAACGAAAATTATTTTGCGT